AAATGAACTTAAATGATTTTAGCATATGGCTGCAATATAACAAAGTGAAAAATTTAAGGGGGTCTGAATACTTTCCGTACCCACTGTATGTTTAACATATTAACATTGTGTTGGTCTAGTATGCATAGTCTCTGAGTAACTGAGCAAAGAGTAAAAAATGCTGCAACTGCCCCAGTGTCCCAGCCTATTTCAGGTTCTGTTTGCAAAGTGTTTAAAGCTTGAAAGGCTTCATATGTAATTTTCATTTCCACTTGGTAGGTAGGTTTCTTCACTCAAGTCAACCTCACTGTGGGCAGGAAAACAATTTGATTTTTACTTATTTATTCAGGGGCTTTAACATGTAGATAAATGCAAACAATCAGTTGTTTCCTCTGACTGATTACACGGGGCCTCTGGCCATCCACAGGTAATTGTCTCAGAATTTCAACGAATGAAAAATGAAAATGCATTAAAAAGCATTTTTAATTGCGATACATGTTTGAAGGTGTCTAATAAACAGAAGTGAGGACATACACAGTGCAGGGACAGATGACCATTGGACCCTGCTAGTACACCGATAAACACCTGTGCAGTTTCAGGGGTGTAAAGTGGAAAAAAAAGGTGTGTGTGTGAGGGGGTGGGGGAGGAGAGAGAGTAAGTCATATAAATCATTATACTTATCTGTTGAACTGGACACGTCCAGAGGGGCACAGAGTGACACTACACAACTTCAATGACTGCCTATCACACCAAAATCAGATTCTAACTTTTAGAACCCGTTTAACTGTTTGAAAAACCTGAGACCTGGATATATTTTTGTTTACTGTTGGACCGAGGAGGGATCATGGATCCAATTGTGGAAGTAGTGGCTTTTATTTTGGGGTTCATTGGCTGGGTGATGGTGGGGATCTCCTTGGTGAATCGTTACTGGAGGACCTCCACTGTCGATGGGAGTGTCATCACCACTTCCACCATCTATGAAAACCTGTGGATGTCATGTGCGACTGATTCAACTGGGGTTCATAACTGCAGGGAGTTCCCCTCGCTGCTTGCTTTGACTGGTATGTTTGCAAAAAGTCTTCTAATTGCAGTATATTGCTTTTTTTAAAACTTTTTTTGTGATCTCCAAACATCAATCAAAGATCATTTTAACTTAAAGTTGAAAAACTAGAGTAAAACATGAAGGACAATTTCAAGATTTTTGAACTTTTGCTCTAAAATCAAATCTTACCAACTGACCTTAATCTCATGACCCTTTTCAAAGCAAATGACAAGTAAACGATAATGAATTGCGTCTGTTTTCACACTGTCTCCAGGTTACATCCAGGCATCTCGTGCCTTGATGATCACATCAGTCGTGTTTGGTACATTTGGACTGGTGGCGGCCCTGATAGGAATAAAGTGTTCAAAGGCTGGAGGCGACAACTATGTTCTCAAAGGAAGGATTGCTGGAACAGCTGGAGTCCTTTTCATACTTCAGGGTAACAATGTAAAAAAAAAAGTGTATTTAAGGAAAATGAGTAAGAAGATGGAGAATCAGTGAGCTTCAGTGCAAAGTCAAGAAAATGTGAGGTCTTTCTGATTTATCTAATGTTGACACTAGCCTAAAGATAATGAATGGAACTTTGTCAAATGCTAATAAATCTTTTCAAGGTTTTATTACACCTTCAAATCAATCATCTATAAATTCCTTCCTGGTTTCCTGGGAGACCTTGGACCTGTTTGAACTATCTGGCAGCTTTCCCACTGTTTTCTCAATGATTAAGGAATATTTGTTGACCCTTTTTCTATCAAAAGGTCTGTGCACAATGGTCTCAGTGTCCTGGTACGCCTTCAACATTACACGGGAATTCTTTGACCCTTTATACGCTGGGACAAGGTAAGGTGATGCTGGTGGAGGCAAGGGACGTGGGGAGAATACACAGGCTGAACATGCAGCTCACATGAGTGTTGGCTGCTGTGTGTTGCAGGTATGAAATAGGGGAAGGACTTTACATTGGCTGGTGCTCCGCTTTGCTCGCCATCATTGGAGGAGCCTGTCTCACCTGCTCCTGCAAAATGGACACAAGGGAAAAATAGTGAGTTCGGTTATAACTCTTGGTGACCCCTCTCTTTGCCAAAATAGATTAGTCTTTTGTTTAGTGATGATTGTTGATTATTAGGGCTCTTTTAATAACAGCATTCTCATATTCAAGATGACAGATAGACAGATAGTAACCCCAGTCAAATTGCCTGTCTCTTCTGTTTTAAATAGCCGTGACACATTATACAGACTAGTTATAGCCACTATGTGCATTTCAAAATGTCTGAGTTTGGTGTCCCCTAGTGGTAGGATACGAAAAGCTACTACAAATACACAGTTTTGAGATGAATGGGAGAAAAACAAGTGCACCAAAAATCACAGGAATTCTACAGGGATAAACTTTAAACTAAATATTTATCAACTTTTATTTTTTATTGTAAAATACATTTTTTCACAAAAGACATGTTTGACATGTCAGAGCAGGAGAAGCACAGGTAAATAATAACATTAATGGTGGCTGGCTTCCATTTAGTTGCTTCAGTTTCAGGGTCCTGTATTGTGCATGCTGGCTCCCTGTCACAGTGTCATGGCTTACGGGGACACTTGAACAAATATTCCTATGTTAGTTAAAGTAAGTATTAGCATTATTGTTATGTATCTGTAACACCTGTGCGTTCCCTGCTATGACAAGTCAAAATGTATCCTGTGAAAAACCTTAGTCAAATGACATGAAATGATTTAAATATATCTAACCATTTTGTTTCCAGTCCGTTGTCCCATCAAACCAGGGGAACTGTATACTCTGGACCTGCACCGGCCAGAAGCGGGATTGCCAGTACTTATGACCGGAAGGCCTATGTTTAAATAGGATATGAAAACAGAACTTTGTTGTTGGGGGTGATCAGGTCTCTTCCAGAAGGATGGGGTACTCTCCTACATCGCTTTTTGTTGATGCTTCTAACTAACGCCCTCTAGTGTTTAGTTTTTACACTTCAGATAAAGTTTTTTTTGTCCATGACAGTGAAAAAGCTGTAGGTTTATGAAAACAGAGCACCACTCACCTGTATACAATCACAACACCCAGTGTAGATTTTGCTGAAATGCATTGCTTTGAAATCATAAATTGTTTACTCTAAGTTGTCTTATTGTAAGCTACTGCATGCTTATTATATGGTTTTCTTGATGATGTTTGCCCAAATACATGTATATAAAGTCACTACAGTCAGTTGTTTCTGAAGAAATCTAGTCATTTGATTATCTGCATAGGCACTGCTAGATATTGCTGTGGGCAAGGTCAATAGTGTGATAATTCAGATATTTGGATGTATTGTTTTGTACAGTTTACAGACAGGTTGTCTTTGTCTTGATGGTTTTATGTTTGTTTGTTTTTTACAGTTTTACACAATAAAATAATAAAAAAAAAAATATAATTTATTTGTCAAAATATGTCATGCTGATTGTGAACAGCTTGAGTTTGTATTCTTCTCTGTGTAGTGGTAGTAAACCTCCTGACTGAGAGTCTATAGCTTTTACACAACAATTAATTATCATAGAAACTTTGCCAGCATGTTTGTTTGTTTTTTACAATTTTACACAATAAAATAATAAAAAAAAAAAAAAAATTTATTTGTCAAAATATGTCATGCTGATTGTGAACAGCTTGAGTTTGTATTCTTCTCTGTGTAGTGGTAGTAAACCTCCTGACTGAGAGTCTATAGCTTTTACACAACAATTAATTATCATAGAAACTTTGCCAGCATGTTAAGAAAGGTTGTATCATTTTACAAAAACAACTGGTGTGAGTGAATATTTGTTATAGTAGGCCTATGATCCAAGACAATTTAATGTGGTAATATTTTATGTATTCCTAAACATGTGGTGCAGCCCGTCCTAATGGAGGTGTATTTATTTACATTACAACGCCCTGTAATAAGTAATTTCATTGCCTGAGGCGATGCTGAGTTCCACTACACACACCACCTTCCTGGCCCATGCAGTGAGATTATGGGCGTGGCATCGGATAAAATAGTCCCTCCAATGAGAGCAGCCCACGTTTCCAGACGAGCACATACGTGCGCCGTGTGGGCCAACCACGGAAATGTAGGGCAGAAAGGGAGGGGACGACGATACCAGGGTCACAAAAGCTCCGTTTTCAAAGTGTATCGGGTGTCAGCCGCTCAATTCCTCATCATTATGTTACGAGAAGGTGTTTTAAGTTGAAGTAAACAGTTATTCCTGGTTCAGCTGGGAAAGCGATGTTAGATGATTAATTTGGGGGGGGAACCTTCAGTGGCGCGTCTCATTTCCAGACGGAATACTGTCAGACAGGGACTGTAAATATACCGTCGTAGTTTCTCTATCGGTCTGGTAGAAGCAAAATGATGAGGATTTAATAAAGCATTTCACAGTTTCAACGCGAAACCAGAGCCTTAGGTTTGCTGTTCCGGTGTCAGATTGTGAATAAATTCAGTAATGGAGTCGTGTGAACGGACGCGACTCAGCGGGGTGCTCTGTTCCCTGTCACTGCTCTGTGTCATCCTGGACATCCAGCTGGACGGTAAGACGGGCTTTACATTCAAAAACTAAAAATTAAACCTTTTCAAACACAAGTTCTGAGGTCGCTGTACGTTTAAGTCTCATTTATTGTTTCTAGCTGGTAAAAGTTTCCCAAACTGTTAGCTTGCCCAGGTTACATTATGTTTAGTCCTTCAAAATAAAGGTTTCTGCCACAATAAAAAAAAAAACATTTCCAACAATCGCTTAACTAAAGAAATTGGTTTAAACTGCACTGCAAAAACTCTGACAGCTGACGCCTTTATGGCATGTCATAGTATACAATGTCATGTTGTGTCATCCTGTAAAATATACTGTGAATTAAATGATTAATTTACACTTAATGTACTGCACTAAATGTGCTTTTATAATGTTAGGAGTAGGATTGAGGTGTAGTCGATGCCTCTGTTCCTCATTCCTTGTTGGATACTTGAGTCAGGATAAACTTGGCTTTGAAAGCTTGTCTGAAATCTAATAAGCAGCATGTGACCTCTGCCTTTTTAAATACTTCAGTTTATTTAAGACATATTGGTGGAATTTGGCAGTGTAAGTTAAAGAAAGTGTACGTAATATATACACGGCTAATTTAAATGTAAATCATAAATAGAATTAACTACTTGAATGTGATCGGATTTGTGTTTTCATTTGCTAACATGAAATATGCAGCTCCGTTGGAGAGTTTGTATTTCTCATGACTTTGTAAATCTGATGATGCCAGGCTGTGATGTGAAATGAAATGTCAATCTAAAAATGCCTGATAGGTTAAAAGAAAAACTAGCTCCATCCTGGTCTGCTCTTTCACTCTTTGTCAGTGATGTATTTCCAGTGAGGCTCAAGTGCAGTTTTATGTTACAGGTGTCCTAGGGGCCACCCATGTCGAGATTGAGCACCACTTGGAGATGGGCCGCAAACTTCTGGCCGCTGGTCAGCTGGCTGAAGCCTTGTCCCACTACCACTCTGCTGTGGGTAAGGTTACACACAGGAATGACAAACACATTTATACTGGCTGACATTTTCAGTCTATATCTAATAAGGTCTGTCATCTCCCATACTTGCTGCAAAATCATGCCTTTAAGTACAGTCAAGAAAGGTGTGTTTTGGCTAGTATTAGTGGTTTAAAATCTGGTGTTTGATACTTTGACAAAATATATATTTAGTTTAAGGTGTTTTTGATGTTTTTAGAGGGAGACTCTAAGAATTACTTGACCTACTACAAGCGAGCTGCGGTGTTCCTGGCCATGGGAAAATCCAGATCTGCCCTGCCAGACCTGGCCAGAGCCATCCAGCTAAAGCCTGATTTCTTGGCTGTAGGTTGATCACAAGACTAGTAGTCTTAATAAAATAGTTTATCACTTCCTTATTTTGTGTCTCTTCTGTAACTCCTCTTTTTGCTGTTCTGTCTCTTATTTTCTTACATTTTCAGGCCAGGTTGCAAAGAGGGAATATCCTTCTAAAGCAGGGCAACACGCAGGAGGCAAGGGAAGACTTTGAAGCAGTGGTAAGAGTAATGACCTGGATCGTTTGCAGCCATCAAGTGCTGTTTCTGTCCATACAGAACAGTTCAGTTAAGGGGGAAATTTTACCTTTATTTCAGCTGCAGCGCTCTCCAGACCATGAAGAAGCTCATGAGCAGCTGATGAAAGCAAATGAGCTGGAGGGGCTGTGGGAGGAGGCCCACGCTGCACACCACCAAGGGGACTACAGCACTACCATCACTGTTCTGGAGAGAGTTATAGAGGTATGTGTCGGCTCTGCAGTGGGGCCTGCAGAGAGTCAGGTAGTGGAAGTCGGCTCACTGCAGAATCGTCATGGTAGGGTGGTGCTTTGGAAGTGGAGGTCTGCACTTGAAAGTCTCCAGAAAAACATTCTGTCCCTCTTATTTATTGTTATGTGTCAAATATATGTCAAAAGAGGCTTCGTAATTCATTTTATATCTGAATCTTAATATTTTCTCTTTCTCTAAAATGCCAGTAAGTTGATGTATCTGGTACTGCATCATGTAGATAAGGTGTGACCTTAGAATTTGTTGCTAACATTTGTTTATGAATTTTCAAATTAAGTCCCATACCATCTTCCTGTTTCATGTGGAAACATTTCACTCCATAAAAAAAGAAAGTTAGGATCACAAACTGTTTAACAAGAAGGAACATTATTGTCTGTGCTGTTAAGTTGAATTAATTTGCACAGTTCTGTACACTCTCTTTCTTCAGATCTCTCCTTGGGATCCTGAGTCACGGGAGCTTCGTGCAGAGTGTTACATCCGAATGGGAGAGCCTCAAAAAGCCATCCAGGATCTGACACCGACCACAAAGCTACGCAACGACAACCGGGCTGCCTTCCTGAAGCTCAGCATGCTGCACTACAGCCTCGGGGAGCACCATGAGTCACTCAAGTGAGTTTTGCTACTGGAACAAACAAACTACGCTGACTTGCACAGCAGAGACATGCAAATTAAGTGAAACTTCATCTGTTTCACCACACTGTGTTGACAAAGTCCACCTCTCACTCTTCATTCTTCTCCTCATCTACGCCTCTGTTTGTGTCCAGTCACGTCAGAGAGTGTCTGAAGCTCGACCAGGATGACAAGGAGTGTTTCAG